AATGTAATCGAAACCACGAATCGGGGTTAAAATTACTGACAAACTATATCTCTGTAATGACAGGAGAAAAATGCTGTTCATAAAAACTCAGTCACTCTAAGAAAAGTAGGAAAACATTTCACAATAGCAAGTTCTGCTAGAAGGATAGAGGAGTATCACACAGAATGTCCAGAGTTCTCACCTATGGCGTACAGACAGCCGTTGAAGGCGACGGAAGAAAAACAGGCACGTCCAAAAAGCATTGGTGAAACGAACGTCCATTGGTCGGTGTCCGGGTCATAAACTTCCACCGAGTTTAGATAATTCATACCAGTACTTCCACCAGCGACGTATATTTTGTCTGTACAAACAAATTAGCTATAATTAAAATGGGACAATCCGTACTTAAATTTGTAAATCTACTAATGATATTGTATATAATGTCCCTCTTCGAGTCACAGAAACTGCACAGACACGGCCATCTCTGTTCATCTGTTTCTTTGTTTCAAATGCAGACAATCAGCATGTCAAAGGAAACGAGTTTAACTGATAAAATTTAATATAAACAGCATAAAGTGCTTAAATTGATGTATAATGGAAATGATGTGAAAAGAATTTTATTAAATTTGCTACCGGAGATGTACGGTACGAGCTGCCAAGCGGTGCTCTACATTTATAATATAATGTGCTATTTACATGAGATCATTAACTGTTTGAAAAACATATTACATCTGTGTTATATGAAAGCCAGTTTGATAGTTTGATGGTTGTTTGCATTCACTCCTAGTGTACACTAAAAAGGCAGAAGACGATGCACAGGGGCAGCTTACAAGATCAGAAGAAACCTTCACACACTCAGAACTTCAAGCCTTTGTAGTCTGTGAAATAACGTAGTATGTAGCACGGATAAAAGAAAGAAATAATAAAAGAATATGGGACAGTGGACGGAGGGAAACTAAGTTCAAGAGCGAAGAGGAATGCCTTGATGATGAAGCCATAAAGTTCGTCTTAAACGTCGGCAGAAGCCAAACGACAGCCATCTTCGTATTAGCCACCGTGAGAACCTCAAATCCTACGATTCCTTCAACTGTTCTTACGTTGTTACAAGAGGACAGACTAATTCTCCACTAATTCATACACTACTGTTTCTCAGGATTTACGTACCATTCAGCACAGTCGAACTTGCATGGGTTCGCTTTGTGTTCATGGGAGCGATCAAAGACCACTGGTTCGCCTTGCAGTCGTATCTTTCAGCCGTTCTGTGAATCTCACTATAACCGTAACCGCCCATGGCGTACACTGCTCCTCGCAGAACAGCCACACTAAAATGGCGTCTGAAACGATAAAAGTACAAGCTCTGCTATGCTCATTTATTGTTGATTCAAATGCATTTCCTCTCGCAGAACGCATTGTTAGTTCGTTATTGTTAAATCATAATTCAAATGAATTAACAAACAAATCATTTTCTTAAAAGCAACATTGTCGCAAAAGTCCTCCTAGCTATTCGCAATTTGCCCGATGCTCCTGTATGTGAGTGGTACAATTTTACAGCCCCTGCCCACATTTATATTTTGACTAACGGAGCGACTATCAGCTTTTTAAGAAGGACTGTGTTAAAAGGAGTTCCTTAGTTAGCGAACTGCATCTTACCTGCGTTTATGCATGGGCGCCACCTCGCGCCACGTCTTCGTAACAGCGTTGAAGCAGTGACATGAGCTTAAGACTTCCCGTCCGTAGAGTAGAGGTACAACCCACAACAGCGGACCGAATTGCTACACCTTGGTGGGTGGCACTCGACAAAGATCGTGAGAAATTAACTTGGAACAATGGTGGAATTATGAGAGGCGAAGAAAACACGAAGACCCGAAGAGGAGCTCAAACATTACCAGTGCTCTCGTCAAGTACGACAGACAAATTTAGAATTAATTTCTGGTCAACAGCTGACATTTCAGGTTCGTACGATGCCAAAGACAGATGTTGGCGTTTTGGGTTTTCCGACGCAAAACTTGAGGCAGTACGTCCCCCACCCCACCCCAAAGAGTGTGTCAGCCTTCTAATTCAAGAGGCGGTACCACGCAGATGGTCGACATCGACAATGAAATCCACTGACGATCAACGATGACTTCGTTTCATGTCTAAAATCAGCAGACAGGTTGCCATGACAGTTGAGGTAGGACGCCTATTGTAAATGGTATTTAAGGCAAACTACTTATACTTCGTCGATTCCTATTAGAGCTTACATTGTGCGTGAGACTCAGCATGTGTGTAATTTATTTATTTATTCTTTTTAATTCATGCCTTTGGAGCGTCTCTTAAAAAAGCGTTCACTGCAATGCAAATAAACGGACACGAAATAAAGAGGCGACGAGGAATTTGTGATTAAACTTAAATACAACAATTATTTAGTAAAAATAAGCAAAAAGGAGGAAAAGTAATTTTCTCGGAGGCGTCATTTAACACAGTAAAGCGGCCCATCCACATACGAGTCTGACTTGCGAGTCTCGCTCGGCGAGCTTGACTCGTGAGCCGGACTCTGATACATTTCGCCAAACATGCATAGCAGACTCGGCTAGTGACACCCCCACCCACAAACGAGTTTGACTCAATGGAACCCGAGCCGAGCTGGACTCGCAAGCCAGACTCGTACGTGGATGGGCCTCTTTAGAGTAGAAATGTGCGCAACTCACCACACTCCACCGGTCTGCTCGAACGTCGTACGCTTCGATCATATCTGAATGCCTTCCGCCGTGACACCCACCAATAGCAAACTCGTACGTGAATGGGCCTCTTCAGAGTAGAAATGTGCGCAACTCACCACACTCCACCGGTCTGCTCGAACGTCGTACGCTTCGATCATATCTGAATGCCTTCCGCCGTGACACCCACCAATAGCAAACAGAATGTCCCGTGGAATTCGCGAGTAGTCAATCCTTGGTGTCACGAATTCCTTGTCTTCCTTGGTCAACCTTTTCACGTAACCCAGGAATGTGAGCGTCTTCGAGATCATGGGTTTGCACGCCTTATTTTCCGTAACGTACGGGTGTTTTAATACCTGTTGAACAATTCAATGTGGGCCTTATGAATTTTTAGGAACGGATGTCATGTTCCATTGCAGAGGAGACAAGAAATTCACGTATAATTTGGTTGGGAAATCACCGAAATGTGGTATATACAGGATAATATGTATTTTGGTTTATGTAACGACGCCCTTAACAAATGCACAGGTTGTGGAGAGAAGCGAAAACAAAGTTAAATCGACCGTAGAGAATCGTATTGAAATATGTTTCAACCGAAAGATAAACACTTCAGTAAGGGTTGCATTTTGAGTTACATTCGAAATTGTAATTTATTTCTCGTCTCTCCCGTGCGATCACCACATTCTTTTTGATTCGATAACTTTAATTAAACGTCAAAATTACGTAGCATCGAAAGGAAATTATGACAATCAGTTGCTTCGAGTTTCAAGGGAGGCAATCTGCTACATGTTGATGGTTGGGTTGAAGGCTCGTCAACACAACAGCGTGGGATTATGGGCTCGATGTCTATCAAGAGCCATTGCATGTTTCGACCTTAATTGGTCATATCATGTGGTTCTCCTTAACCCGGTGTCCTACGTGAGCGATTAAATGCGAGCGGTGCGAGTTGCGTGGGCGAAGCGGAAATATCAAACTGGCTGTTTGTGTGGCGCTGTCCTAGGTTACAGCGAAGCGGTCAGCGGCAAAATTCCGAGATCAAATATTTTGATATTTTCGCGTGAGTAGCTGCACTGGCCAGTAAAGCGCATGCGCAAGAGAGCTCTGACCGTACAGTACACGGAAGGTGCATGCGCAGGAAGGCCATGTGCTTCTCTCACACAACAAGCGATTCCCCGCTTCATATGACACCCCATGCAGCTTATGCAGCTCGCATAGCTCTCTTGTTATCGCTTACGTAGGACATTGCCTAAGTGTTCTAAACTAATATATACGAATGCTAAATTGTAAAGGAATTTGACGCAGATAAAATTTTCATGGATTCTTGCGATTGTTTCACACTTATTCGTAAGAGGTGAGTGACTGAAATTACAGGGCATTTGACCTAGTGTAGAAATATTTTTTCTCTCGGATTAAAGCGCATGATGAAATGGAAGAAAGAATATCATAAGTTGTATGGCTGCTTAGTGAGATAACGGTTAAAATATTAGAATGTTAAAGCTGTCTATGAGTTTGAAGTCCCTGGGGTAATTTACTCTTGATCTAGAACGAAGCCTTCTTGCTGCAATTTTTCGATATCTGTTGTCCCTATGTGGTCAATCAGCTGAAGATCATCATGCTGATGCGATTTGGGGTTGACTATATTTTTCGTCGGAGATTTGTGAAATTATTAGAGCAGTTAAGATACTCTTCTTATGGCAGTAGGGTCTTTGGTTAAGTTGAACGCTGAGTCAGAGGACGTGATTTATCTGTTGGATGATTTTCCTTTCAAGCTGAGTGGACGTTTGAATGTAGTTAACGGTGGAATGCTCTAGTTGAAGTGACACACGCAATAGATCTTAATTAACGCTGAGACTAATAAAAGATTGTAGCGCCCACGAACTGTCAAACTTGCAGACGATAAATAAAAGATGATTAAATCCATCCACATATCTGAATAAAAGGACTATTCGAATATTTGTTTTACACATACACACACTTACACACGAGAGCGTGTTACCAGCGGCATTCTACAGGTAGTTACTGTAACCATGGTAACTAAGGGAATCTGGGGATTTCTTACGCAGGAAGTTTTGCGCTGGATAAGGCATTAAAATCATTGTATAATTTTCACGTCGTTATTGTGAGATTTTAAGGGGAATCGGAATATGTAAACAGATTCTGTTAAAGCTCATCAGCATTAAATCTAATGAACATCTGTTCAGACGTTCTCGAGCTGGAACTGCGGACAGACAGACAGACAGACGGGCTTACATGTGACGAAGAAAAAGGCTCCCGATTTGCATTAATTAGTTACGAACACGTGTGAATATAGAATTGAAAATACGGATTTCACTACCCTTAAACATCCACGATTTCAGGGGCATACTGACCTTCTCCTTGAAGAAATCTTCGTCAAGTAGTCTGACGCCCTTCAAGAGGCCCGCGATGTGACCTTTCCTGTTATCCGGGTCGTGGTTGATCCACCGGAGAATGCACTCCCACACTGTTTCCTCATCCTTTGCGTTTAGTTCCTCTGACGTGATTATCTCTTGCAGCTCCTCTACAGGCAGTTCTAGCAGTTCTCCGCTCTGCTGAGACACTTGCACGAAGTTCCGCAGAACGAAGCTGCGAGCGTGAGCCTCAAGGTCGGCGAAGGAGTGTAACCTGTGACAGCGAGGGTAAGAGCCGACTCAGAATCGATCTCCTTCATTCTCTGACACATTGAAACACTGCAGGAAGAACTTGATTCCCAACTATGTACACACCACGGTATTTCGCCTCCAGTTTTTACCTTAGCCCTTTGGAGCCCGAATGAATGAGCCTGAGAGCAAATACATGGAGAGACAACGGTGAGAGACGCTCCGTTTAACCGTGGCAATATAGAGACTTTTCGGCTATGAAGGTTCCCAGGCAATGCCCGCTCGTCCTCGTGATAAGATTGAATCAAGGGCATGGCGTACGCAAGTGAAGAAGGCAGTGACATGAGGAGAGTAGAATTTTGAATTCTCGTATTAACCTTGGCGAAACGACGTTGTGTTAACTGTGTGAGTTAATCCAGTGAAAGCTTGTTTAGCCGGACTATATGGGGGGATCCACGGGTCGGATAAGCCGATAAGTCGGATGAGCGAGGGAAAGGGGAACGTGGTCATGGAAATGAACAAACAAATAGAGACTCAATACAGATTTTCCTCGGCGGCGGATGATGCGGGCGTTTCGCACTCACAAGCCGACAGCAAAAGTCACTCGTGAGCGCTGTTCGAGGGAATCCCTGTATTAAAATAGTGAATTTATC